GCAGCCCTTGTAGTTCCAACACAAGGAAGCGAGCTTTGTTACCTCAGGAACCTTGCAACAAAAGCTGAATAGGTGCAATTCTGGCTCTAGTTTTACCTGTTTGGGTCCAGATGTGGCGATTGCTCCCATCTCGTTCGGTTGGAGAGAGTTCCTCATCTCAGACTCAGCGGCCCTACCACAGAGAAGACAGCAAACATGTTATAATGAGACACAAAACAGAAGAAACACTGGAAGACTAGATTAAAACAAGAAGTGGTGTTAATATCTACACACTTCCATGTTGTGATTACAGCAGTGTAGCCTCTCTCTGTTGCTTTCATTACAGCATGTACTGAGAACTATAAATCCTTCAAAGAGCTGTGTTGCTTTTACATTTCCGTGACAGATAACAGCGGCACGCTTTAATGCTTCGAAGAGCTCATTACAATGCCTTTGTGGGAACTTTGCTGTGCTGACACTCCATCTGAAGAGCTGAGAAACTCTCTGCGCCGAGCAGAGTTTGCTCACTTCAGACTGCCAAGCCGAAGCCGACAGCCGCTGCTCATATCTGAGCCCGAGCTGAGCCGAAGCCAAGGCATGCTCTGGTGATTAAAAAAGGCATTAATGCAAAGTCCAAATGAAGCCACTGAAAAGGGATTGAGGATTCTCGCACAGGTAATCTTGTTTGAAGAAAGTTTACAAAGAAAGAAAGCCCGTTCATTAATCCTTCGCCTTTTGGTTTCCTCTCTATCCAAGGAGTGACCACTGGGGGATTCTCTGTGCTCTTCGGTAACAAGACGTGTTCAGGCCACAGGAGATGATAATGAGCCCCATGGTGGTGCAGAAACAGACGAGCGTTGTGACTTTGGGAGGTAATTTGTGATTTCAAGTGGAAGAACCGGCAGTGGACCGTCTCGTGTCTCGGTGTGGGTTTACAAGTTTCTCTGATTCAACACAGTGTTGTGATAGACATGAGCTCTATGAAACATCTTTTACATAGAAATATGAAAGATACAAAAAGCAGGAAACAAATTAACAGAAGTTTGGGAGCTTCTGTTGAACCTTTAGTTTGATGTCTAAAAGCAACACCTTTGCTTGAGTTTACAAAACCTTCAGCAGTGAAGTTAAGCCATTTTAATTAGCCCCAAGGTGCTTAAAACAACATGTAGGTCATAAAACTGTCAAAATAATACATTTACAGTTGAAATGAGATGTATAAAAACAAGCATCATATTTTTTTCTTGTCTTACATTAAACCAGAAAAAGCTCACTCTTCTGTTTTATTATGAAAACATAGTTTTGCAAAATTGTTTTTTTTTTTTTGTTGCAAAATTCACATTTTGCATGTCTTTATCCTTCTAGTTTTGTCTCAACTTATTTTTGAAATACTTTTCTGCTCAAGCCGACTTAACCTATTGCATATCGCTGTGTGTTACTCTACCTGTCTAGATGACTGGAAGGCTGTTGGCCCATGGCTCTATGTTGGTTTGAAGGACTGTGCTTTACTGAATTTGTTCCAGATGGAGGAGCGCCGTCTATAAGAACAGAGGAAGCATCAACAGTCCTGTTAGCCCATTAGCAAAAGAAAGAAGAAGGGACACCCTCCTAATTAGCCGGACAGAAACCAGAGTAACGCCTGATTACCTTCTTCAGGCACGACCGTCAGCGTGACTGTGTTTCCGGCATCCTTTATGAGCTGAACGATGTCGTTGTGCGACAGCTCCATGATGGACTGGCCGTTGACAGCAGATATACGGTCCCCCACCTTCATGCGACCTATGCGGTCCGTGGGGCTCCCCTCGATAATACGACCGATTTTGTGCGGTATGACTGTCATAAAAAAAGATGAAAGGAAAAACTCTGACTTTTAGCATGTTTCTACAGCAATGATTCAATTATGTGCATCATGATTCTACCTCCAAAGAGAATATGTCACAGAATAGCAATGTCTGATATTTCCGTAAAGGTAAAGAACTATTTTGTCTCGTCAGCTGTGGTTCTAGCACTGTAATAACAAGGCCGTGTTTATTGGAATGAAGTTTATTGAAATCGAGCCACAAACAATCCCTTTCAGAAGAAGTCAAATTAGGCGGCCTGTTCATTGAATGCACCATTCTTCATGACGTTTGCAGTCGAAGGTAAGCCCAGTGATGCTGTGATAAGCTGTGAAAGCTGTGCTTTCCTGGAATGCGTGACTGACAAAGCTTTTATTGCCATTTACTTTGCATCATCTCTTTTTTCTTTCATCCTCTGGAAATTATGCCTGTCCCAGTGAGTTTGTGTTTAACTCTCTTTTATGAATCACTGACAGAGCAACTACTGCCATTACCTCTGGTTCTCTTTTCTGAATGGAATCATTAATAGAGTAATTTCTGAGTAATTATCATATATTAGGGCTGCAACTATAATTATTTTTAGCAATTTGTTATTCTATCAGTTATTCAGACTGATAATCAATTAATCACAAAAACTGACATATTCTGCAGAATTTTCATTGAATCACTTATTCATTTTTATATGATATTATAAATAAAAGATGCAAAAAAGAAAATGAATCAATTCCTTTTTTAAATAAGAAAATAAAAAATTTGATTGGCTAAAATGCTATAAAATTTGCATTTTAGGCAAATGTTCAACTGTATATGCCTTCAGTATTTGTAGCAAAAAATGCATCTGCAGCTAAAAAAAAAAACAAAAACAAAAAAACTTCTTACTCTACCATGTCAACATTTAATCCGTTTCTACTTAACTTAACATTAATGTCATGTAGGGATAATTTGGTGATTATTTTTGGTTTAACTGATTAATAATTTGATAGCAAAAGATTTTTAATAGGATTTTCAACCAGGTCCACATTGAAATGAATGGATTTGACACACTTGGAGTCTATATAGATGGGGCTAAATTGGACTTTTGGTTGTAAGCTGTTGCTATAATAAGAAACGTGATGTAAGCATTTCCTGATCTACTGCTGTGTTGATTTGCATCAATTCTAAATCTGATCTATGAAAACAAAAACAACATGCGTGCGTCGTGCTTGTGTTTGCTCCACACCTCCAGGTGGGGGTTTGTTCTTTGATGTGAGGATAACAAAACCAAAGCCCTCATTGTCTTTCCGCTGCAGGGTAACATCAAAGCTCTCTGGTCTGGGGAGGTGAGCAGGCTGGACGGCGTTTGGCGCCTCAACGCGAGGCACTTTGGGAGAGCTGTTGACCAGAGCCGAGGCCACCTGCTGAGGCTGCTGGCCGCTCTCTTCCTCTTCGCCACCCTCTGAGGAATGACAAAACAAAAACAAGACAATGTTTGTCAGATACAGGCTAGTCCGTACAGACCGGTTTAAATATCAACAGAACTTCAGGGCCACCTGTAAATGACTAATTGGTTGTACGGCATTTAAAATCAAATAACATTGTAAGAAATAAATGTACATAAAAATGAGAGAAAATCCAAATAATTTCTATTCTTTTTCATTATGTGTTTAAATCACAGATTATATTTTGATATTTCTTAATTTGTTTCAGAATTTTTGTTGTGGAATCCATCGTCAAATAATTAAAACTGTCTTCTAAATAATCAATAACTTTGATTGGTTTGGTCACACATTCTATAAAATAAATTATTGATAAACAGCAACACAGGGGCACGAAATAGTCAAATGAAACAGAATTATATATTTTCTCATTTTATTTTCTAATTGCCTTTTATATACATTTTAAAAGAAATATTAATAACTGTGTTTATATTCAGTTTTATTTATAACATCACATATATTGGTATATTTTACAAACTTATGTAGGTGTTAAATTTGTGCTTTTGGTCCTCAGGAGATTCATTGCTTCTTTTGAGCAGAGAACAAATCTAAAGAAACTGACGTGAAAAAAAGAATGTGAAAAAAAATAAAATAATAAAAACAACAGACAACAGTTATTTGAAATAGCTGAAGAGGATTCAACTCAGTCCCTCTTTGTTGAATGCTTGCTTTGTAATCTTTAACCAGCCTCTTCATCTTTCCAAAACCCAGCAATAAAAGCAGAGAGTCCTCATGACAGATGCTTATTTTCTGCACAGTCATTAGAAAAAGTGCTCCTGCTACGGATAAAGTGGCTATTTGCGGGTTTAAACCGGCCTTATTTCAGCAGGAGGTATGAGCTGCTGCAGAAACACTTTCAGAAAGTACTTTGAGATGTAAATCAGCTCAGCTTTTTAATGTCGCAACAAAGCAACCATCTTATTTCAGCCTTTTTGTAAAATAGTTTTAATATCTTTAATGAAATCAAATTAAATGCACTTCTTTCAAAAGGTAGAGAAAATGCCTTCAAAGCAGAAAGTCATCGTTTTAATCAAACTTCATTTATTCCTATTTTTTTCCAACAGGGAAGTCACCCAGAGCAAATTTAAAGGATTACCGAGCAAATCCAACATCAAAGCCTTTTCCCCGAGGTTTTCCTCCAGCATGCTGATCTGAGGCAAATGAGGAGATGAAGGAACTGTGCTGCGAGTGCCCTCGGAGGAATGCAGAGCTGATTATACACAGCAGACCTACCTGTGTGTGTCAGCTTCCGGCGGACGGTCAGCATGACTTGGCCGTTCCGGGCGGCGTTGGTCATCAGTTCCAGCACTTGTTTGTGCGACTTGCCCTTAACGGGAACGCCGTCTATACACAGCAGCTCATCTCCGGCCCGCAAACGGCCGTCCTTCTCGGCTGCGCCGAGTGGCACAATGGCGCCGATGTACACCTGAAGAAGAAATCAAAAATGATCTGCGCTAGAAAGAGCACATCGACTGGTTGATGTGATTATTAGGAGTTTATATTAATTGATAATCTATTTTGTTTGTGTTTTTGGAAACTTCCAATCATCACACATAATTTGTGCAACTCACCGGTTGATCTGGCCCCTCGCCACCCAGGACTCTGAAGCCAAAGCCCGACTCTTGGTTCCGTTTGATGAAGACGTCCAGGTCCTTGGTATTAGGTGCTGAAGACAGGAAAGAAATAAGAAGAGATGGAAAGTTTTCACCAGGGTCAAAAATGATTCATTTGGAAAAATCACATACATCAAGAAATCACGCTATAGAACACAGTTTATTATCTGTCAGTACAATTTTTAGTCTACGTTTCAGACTAAATATCCATATATCTTCTTCGTCTTATCTGAGATCAGATCGTGGAGCTAACAAGTCCTGGGGGAAACCCAAAGATCCCTGTTCCAAGCTACACTCTCCAGCTTTCTGTTAGGAATCCCAGGGGGTTCCAGTGCTTGAAGGGATATGTAGTTTATCTTGTTTTCCCCTGGGGTTTCCTCCCAGCGGTGCGCGCTTGGAAACCTCTGAATGGTGGCATCCTGGTCACATAACTGAACTCAGAGATACTTTGGTCACACCACACGAAGTGCTACAATGTCACTCTGACAACAGCACCTCTGACATTGCTTCTCAGAGAGTGCGACTCAAACTAATTATTTTCAACCTGTGATGTGCAAAAAATGAACAACAGAAATCTAAGAAGCAATTTAAAAGGAAACTGAACATTTAGGCTGCAAGAGAGCCAGAGAAAGCAAGACTTTAGGCAGATTAGAAGAATATTATTTGGAGTGAAACAGAGTTTCCGCTTTTTGAGCTTTGGCTCGAGTTTATCATGGAACCTGCTGGATTTGGACATTTTTACAGCCTTTTGGAAATGTCAGAGTTGAAGTAAGGATCTACCATCTCTAAGGAAAACACATGGAAACTGCTATTTTGCAACTTAAAGGTGAAATTGGTATTGGCAGGTAAAAGTACAAAAACTGAAGATTGCTATACTGATTTGCTCATTTTTATCTAAAGCTTGAATATCGAAGCGATTTTAAATCTCCAGAAGAGACTTTTGTAACTTCCAGGCGGGTTTGGATCAACCTCACATATCCAACCAATGAAATACATTGCAAAGCTGATTAGAGAGATGCTCAAGTAGGGCTGAAAAAGTTCTGTCATCAACTTACGCTTGCTGTCTAGCATAGCTTTGGACTTGAGGTAGAGCTCAGACGGGTCCGGTTTGGGAGAAGACGACCGCAGGGTGTTGGTAGACACAGGGAGCGCGTTGGAGAGCACCTCCGGCTGACTGAGGGTCTCTGTGCTGTTCGCCATCTCCTGCCGCTGCTGCAGCTGCACGACGGGCTGCGAGGCCGGGTGCGGCAGCTGGTGGGAGACGGCGTGCGGAGGATGCTGGAGGCTGTGCTGGGACGTAGCGTGGGGCATGCTAGCTCTCTCCTGCCACACACAACAGGAGGAAAGGGTAAACAGATGTGCAAGTCCTCAGGTGGGTGAAACATCCATTAGTTGTGGCACATTTTCAGATAACTTGGAACATATACAGTAACAACAGCAATAACAGATCATTTATCTAAGTGGTTCAAGTCTAAATATAGGATGGATTTAGTTACCAAGAAATAAAAAATCCCCCAAATAGCACAACCGAGCAGAATGATACTGCATTTCACCAACAAAGCAGAGTGAGTAAGCCTGTTTCTGCCTCATCTCCTCTCTATTTTCAAAGCGCAGCACAGAGGAGCAGCACAGTGACAAGCTGTTGAACGAGGCATATCATCTTACAACACCCAAGCACAGGATGATGTTAAGTTGCTGTTTGCACGGAACATGTGTGTTTACCCACACGCAACTCCAGAAATAACAACCTGGATAATGCAGGTTGCCTGAATAATGCAGCATTGCTTGTGGGAGGCAGCGATAAAGCAAACCAGAAAAAATAATGGTTTCTATTTTGTAATCCAACAGAAAATGGGTTTTCTATTACATCATTTTTTATGAGAAAACTGATAAAAAAAAGTGTTTTACTTACAGGTTTTAGTGATTTCACAGGAGAAGTTTGACCTGTCAGCAGAGAGGTGAAAGTGAAGGTTAAATCCTTAAGAAAACATAGCCAACACATTATGAAATATATAACGATGACAAAAGGTGAGAATCATAAAAATCTTAGTTACAGGTTTTGTGTGTTTATCCCATTTCTCTGTTCTCACCTGTACCAGACATGTTTTCAGTACTTTCCTCTCCGCTTCTCTCAAGTTTCAAATGAGAGGGGTGTGGAAAGCAATGTGTAATATTACCACCAGGGGTCAGTAGGCTCAAGTATTACTGATGTTTGATGTGTAATTATAAGAGGAGGGCCAAAGAAGACCTGGAGCCGTGGGAAAACATCCACTGCTCTCTGGGTGAAACCAGCCACCTGTTGCTGCAAATGCAACCCAGAGGCGCTGAAGCTGTCCGGTTTTTCACAAAAATCATCCCAGACTGTGGTTTGCATTTGATCAGTAGTTTTTCTTAGTGGTGCTTCACATTTGTTTCCATTTGTAGATATTGTAATATTTCCTTGGAAGTCTATCCACCGTCTTCTTTGTTCCCCATTTGGTCCACCAGATGCTTTCCTTGCCTGTTTATCCCCGCCCAGTTCATTTACTTTGTTTGAACTATTCAGGTGTGGATTCATGCTTGGGCTAATTTGGATTTCCTGCCTCCGCAGTGCCTCCATTTGTTCCTTTGTTCAATAAGCTAATTAATGTATGTTAATTTTCCATCTGCTTCCTTCAGTCTGCACATCTGCATTTTTGTTCCGCCACAAATAAATTTGTTAAAATGCGCAGTATGTTGTGTTAAAACATACAATTGTATGTTTATTAAAACATGTTTATATTAATAATATACAACTCTGGAAAAAATTAAGAGACCAATTAAAATGATCAGTTTCTCTGATTTGACTTTTTATAGGTATATGTGAGTAAAATGAACATTGTTCTTTTATTCTACGAACTATTGTTTCCCAAATTCCAAGCAAAACTTTAGTTTTAATTTGAAGAAAATGAGAAATGGTTAAAATACCAAAAATAAAAAATAAAAAATAAATGCAGTGCTTTCATACCTCAAATAATGCAAAGAAAACAAGTTCATATTCATTTAGAAACAACAATACTAATGTTTTAACTCAGGAAGAGTTCAGAAATAAATATTTGGTGGGCTCTTAATTTTTTCCAGAGCTGTATTTATATTATCAAAAACATAAAGTTTAAATGTTTTTCTATGGAATAAAGTTTAAATAGAAAACATTTTTCTTTAGCAAGGACAGAGAAGCTGCTAAAGCTGATGAGAAAATGGATGAAGTTAAATACGGGAGCAGAAAACCAGATAGAGGCTGCAAAAGATAAGCAAATGGGGCAAAGGTCAACCTTTTAGCAGGACGGAGGACCTAAACACACGGCCAACACAACAATTGGATGGTTGAAACCAAATTATATTCATGTGTCAGAATGGCCCAGTCAAAGCTCAGACATTAATTCAAGTTAAAATCTGTTCAAAGACTTGAAAACAAATGCTCACAAATGTTCTATGTCGAATCTGACTGAGCTTGAGATGTTTCTCAAATAGGAAAGAGTAAAACCTTTTGTAATTTTTCTTGGACTCCATCGTAATTCTCTACTTTGTGTTGGTCCATCACATAAAATCTCAATGAAACACTCTGACATTTGTGTGAAAGGGTGTGAATATTTTTACAAGGCACTGTAGCTTCATTTCAGTATGAAAATCTTCACAATTTTCCGAATTTACTTCCCATCATCTGTAATTCTGACTGCTGGTTGAAACTGAAACCAATCCTAATCCGAGCCTTTGGGGGTCCTGTGAGAAACCTCAGCAGCATTTCATCTTTGATTTCTGGAAAGCTGTGATCCTATGCTTTCCTAAAGCTGTGACACACACACACACACAGACACACGCACTCACACATGCAGCATATGCACGTGTGCGATTAATGCAGATACACGACAAACCCCCGGGAGCGTAGAACAGAACCCGGCTCAGCGCATCTGATATGTGGGTGCAACACTGATCTCCTGAATCTGGGCTATACTGCACTGCAGCAAAGGCAAAAAAAAGGAACAAGCCCTTCAAATCAGGGAAAGCATGAAGCAAGAAGACAGGCGGTGATTACCCACCACGCTCTGCCTACTCTCTTTCTTTCTCTCATGGCAGCAAGTGGTTCAGTGAAGCTGCCATCTCTTCCGAACGCAGCTCCCTCCCATGTGACCGAGCTCCACTTCCTCCCCGTTTGGGAAGGTGCACAGTGGATGATGCAGAGCTGGCGTGGACCAGAGCGTGAAATTGCTTTATTAAACACTGGGAGAGTCCGTGTATTCAAGCAAGACAGGCAGCACGCAATCCGTCCTGTCATTTATAAATTAAAACATTGTACACAGTACAGGAACTTTCATCTCCTCTACAGCTGATAGGTCTCAGACAACAGGAAGGATAATGTCAGCGTCTCCTCGGGAATTAATTTTAAAAGCAGTCTGGGAATTTTGTTTATTGTTTTTTCTTTTTGATGGCAGAAAAAAGTGAGTCAAAAGCACAAAGCAGAAAAGAAATCTGCAGGGGGATTAAAAGGATTTCAGAAGAATTGGAATAAACTGTCACCTTGCCTCCAGGCTGTAATACCTGTGCGCTGTCTGAACATGATACTTGTAGATTAACATTCAGAAAGATTTCACAGCGTGTCCCAGCTGTGGTGCTACCAACTTACCACCTGAGTCTACTGGCTTAGCACCAAAATACATTAGATCTGTTGTTTTTGTATCAACCTTGTATCTGCATCCCAGAACCAGAACCAAACACTGAGAAACAGCATTCAGCTGCTCCGCACCACAGATCTGGAACAAACTTCCAGAAAACTGCTCAACCGTCAAAACATTGAGTTCCTTTAAACAAAGACAAAAACCCACCTGTTTAGAGTTGTCTTTGATTAGTAGTAAGTGGAACATTAATAAACATATTTGATGTATATTTGCTTGATGATTTTGATGATGGCATTTGACAAATTGCATTGTTTATTACTAATCTCATAATCGTTGACTGTCTGTTTTTTAGCCAGGTAAAAACCAACCCCTTGTTCTATGTGTTGCTTCATACAGAGGGTCTGGACTCTCGCTATAGAGAAACAATTGCTTCCTGGAAGAGTGGACTCTGTCGAGGTTTTAAATTTTGCCCAATCGCTA